CGATTGTACAGTCTCACAGCAATATTTTAGCATTAGAAGCATATTATTCATATCTCAATTGTCATGTGCAGAATACAAGCTGGTAAATGCAGAGTAACACAGTTGCAGCATTTACGTTAAACCTTACCCTGTATGTAATACCCATCGCGAAGACCTCCAAACTTCTCTTGCCCAGCTGTATCCCACACGTTGAATTTAATTGCTCCTCTGTTAGTGTGAAATACTAGAGGATGGACTTCAACACCCAAAGTAGCTGCAAAACAAAGGCTACAAGTCACCACGGTCCTCATGGGTAAAGCCCAGCATGTAAACCAGACGCAGCATGTCCATAAGCAGATCTGTTGAGCTGGACAATCAGAATCCCACCATTCCCAGCTATGCCACTCATAAATGCCAGAAATATGGTTGGAATACGTGGGGGGTGGGGCTACTAGGCATACCGTGAACCTTGGACAGAGGTCCTCCCTCTCCCCACATTAATCACCAGAAAGGATTAGCTCCGCCCCCAATTCATTCTAGCTCAGGGATATTCAAATCACGGTCTTCAAGGTCCAAGCACTGCTGGTTTTCCAGCCTTCCTTTACCTGTCAGTCAGGTGTGAGGCCTCTGACCAATCAGAATCAGTAATTTTTAAACTAACTACCTGGGACCAAAATAAACAAATGTTGAAATCATGCCATAAATAATATAGAAATCATACCTTCATGTAAGCATGAAACAACCAAACCATTTTAAAAGCATCAGCTTACCTACATATTTCTTCTCGAACTCTCCAGTCAGGTGACGTTTCACAAAGGTGGTTTTACCAGTACCACCATCACCAACCAGTACAAGCTGGGGGGAGGGAAAAAAAATCCATATGCATTTCAGGTCAGACATGCTACCAAAGCCTAGATCATTCCCTTATGGAATGACAAACCAGGGACTCTGAAGGACCAAAACATAAAAATAAAGATAATTCACTAACCTTGAACTGAACTTGAGGTTCCCCTTGCATTGCCATTGTTTAAGATTTTACCTGTAATCAAATCAGAACATGCACATCATAAGGTGAAAACGCTGCATCCCGGACCTGTGTCCATTAACAAATGACTACACAAATCTCATCTGCCAGAGATAAAGGCCCGCACATGCTCCCAAGGCATGGACTGGGGCAGGCGATGATCAAGTTGCAAAATGCTCAAACAATTCAAATAAACCATATACAGTTTACATTGTGCTTAGCCACTAATCAGTCAGTGGCCCTGGGCTTAACCTGGGCTACAGTAACTCACTTAGGAAGATTTGTATATGAAAGGTGCGGGACTTTTTACGATGGTAAATTAAAAATCGCCCCCGATCCCTTAATCTCCTGCGTCGCATTCTTTGACCCAGCCACAGTCCACCGTGGCCATGCTTTCGAAGAGCACGAACAATAGCTTGCGGATGTAGCTATCTAGCACAAAATAATGACGTCCATTAAGATCAAGTGGGGGGAAAAAGTCAACAAAACACCATTCTATTCTACAGAGCACTAAGATAAATGACGGAGTGCGAGACACCTAGCCTAATACACGAGGTTACGTTTGCAATTATTTATCTAGGTCACGGTGTAATTTCATGGAAACTCTTACGTGCCCCGTTTCGATTATAGTCAAGGGAGAGTGTTATACTCAAGAACAATGTTTTAATACTCTTTAGCTTGCACCGGAGCCGCCGTCTCATTCCCCATCAAAAAGCCCGCCAACTAGAAGTGTACTGAGATAGCTACCAGGTTCCAATTCAAACAACGAGACAGTAACGCGCTTAAAGTGGTATCCAGAATAATCAAAATGTAGCAAGAGTGTCGAGCATCATAATAAAAAGGCCAAACTCAGTAGATACTTTTTTCCATTGTGTACCGATTATTCAGATGTCTATGATTACAGATGGATTAAGGGTTTCTTTTCTGTTGCTTACCTTTCTGTTGAGAAGCAAGGCTCGTACGGAATTTCCGAAATAAAATGGCTGACGCGTTTTTGAAATACCCCGACCACACACCCCTATCACGTGTATCTGTATCTCCATGGCAACTCGCGGTAAGGCGGTGTTTGAAACTGTCTACGTTTGCTATTGGACGTCGGCTGGGGCTGGCGTCAGCAAAAGGCGGAAGCGGGACCTTAAAATTCAGCCCAGAGACTCCGGATTGGACACCATTCACGTGGTCATCGCCGTACTCACAATCAACAAGAACAAAATGTATTTTATATGCTTTTCAGTTGTAAGTATTAACACGTATTTTTCTTTTTGGCACGTGTGTGTGTGTGTGATGATACTAATACTTGGGAGATTGTTCTAAAGTTTTCACTTATCGTTTTCTTTTGTTAGTGTGACAGTATCTCATGGCTTGCCATAAACTAAATATGGTCCTTTTGTTGCACATTTTACACAAATGATTGGGTACTGAACTCAAATAAATATCACAACACAAAGAAAATATTTGAGAGAGAGGGATGCAGAATTTTCTAATAACAAGAATTCTCAATGAACCATTAACCACTCATTTAGTATCAAATGCTGGCCAAAATTTAAATGAAATTATGCAAATTAACTGAGGTGTCCAAAATGGCTGAAATTAGCCAACAACTAGATCTAGTGAATTATTGTGTGAATCAGAAGAAGAATGCGATAATGCAGCATCTTTTGGGTTATGACCTTACCAGTTGAGAAACACATTTGAAAAGCTGTGTCAGAAGAGATTTGATTAAGCTTGTTTAGTCTATCAGGCAGTGTCTGCACAAAATGCTGTAATATCTGGCAGATCTGTTAACTTCCCCCTGAAAGGTTTTGGAAGGAGATAGAAAGAATACCATCCATCTTTCCATTCATCCATCTATACCACAATCATTTATCCAGTAAAGGGTTTTTTGAAGGCTATTGGAGGCCGCTGTGCAGTGTTGATGACTCTCTTTAGTGATTTCTTGTCTGCAGCAGAGCAACTGGTAAAGTACACAGGGATGCAGAGTGTGATGATGCTTTCAATGATGTTGCAATTAAAGATCACCAATAACTGTCTGTTCACACTCGCCTAGTAAGTATAGCCATTTTCAGGGGATTTAGAAATGGGGGGGGGCANTACTGGCAGATCCCCCCCCTCCCCATCTTACTGTATTGGGGTCCAGAATTGCTGCATGTCTGTTTTAGCAGGGGGAACCAAACATCCTGGAATTCAGGAAATAATGTTTCCCCCTGAAATTTGGGGAAAGAAGTATGTGAGATGGCTGACAATCATTCAGACCCGTTGCCACAGGTGTATAAAATCAAGCACCTAGTTATGCAGCCAGGTTTAGAAACATTTGTGAAAGAATGGGTCATTCTGAAGAGCTCAGTAATTTCAAGCGTGGTACTGTCATAGAATGCCACTTGGCAATAAGTCATTTTCTGAAATTTCTTCCCTGCTAGATATTCCATGGTCACCTATAAGTGGTATCATTGCAAAATGCAGGTGTTTAGGAACAGCAGAAACTCAGCCATGAAGTGGCAGACCATGTAATGTAATAGAACACATAGCACATAAAAATCACCAACTCTATGTTGACTCAATAACTGCAGAGTTCCAAACTTCCTCTGGCATGAACCCCAGCACAAAAACTGTGCGCCGGGAGCTTCATGGAATGGGCTTCCATGGCCGAGCAGCTGCATACAAGCCTCACATCACCAAGCGCGATGCAAAGTGTCAGATGGAGTGGTGTAAAGCACACTGCTACTGGAATCATGTTCTGTGGAGGGACAAATCACACTTCTCTGTCTGGCAGTCTTATGGATGAGTCTGGGTTTGGTGGATGCCAGTAAAACATTACCTGCCTGACTGCTTTGTGCCAGCTGTAAAGTTTGATGGAGGAGGGATAATGGTATGGGGTTGTTTTTCAGTGGTTAGGCTTGGCCCCTTAGTTCCAGTGAAGGGAAATCTTAATGTTTCAGCATACCAAGACATTTTGAAAAAGTCAATGCTTCCATCTTTGTGGAAACAATTTGGGGAAGGCCTTTTTCTGCTCCAGCATGCCTGTGCCCCAGTGCACAAAGCAAGGTCCATAAAGACATGGTTGTATGATTTTTGGTGTGGAACAACTTGACTGGCCAACACAAAGCCCTGATCCCAACCCCACCGAATACCTTAGGAATGAGCTAGAACAGAGATTAAGAGCCAGACCTACACATCCTACATCAGTGCCTGACCTCGAAAATGCTCTTCTGGGTGAATGGGCAAAAATTCACACAAAAAACTCCACAAAATCTTGTGGAAAGCCTTCCCAGAAGAGTGGAGGCTGGTACAGCTGCAAAGGGGGGCCAACTCCAAATGGTTGCCTATGGATTTAGAATGGGATGCGATAAACGTTCATGTGTAATACTCAGGTGTTCCAATACTTATGTCCATATAGTGCATGTGAGATGGCTGAAAGTCATTCAGATACATAATTACAACTGTATAAACTAGTGTTATCAGTATTTAAGTCCAGAGTTGCTGTGTGACTATTTTAGCAGGGAGAACCATATATTCTAGACTTCAGGTAATAATGTCCCCCCTTCATATTCATCTTCACAGTTATATGTCTTTTCATATAATCAGATTTGGTGTCCTGTAAATTCTTTATGTGTGTTAGCGTAGGAAACTACGCATGTTTTAATAGAACTGAATGATGTCTGAATGGGCACAAAGACAACGTTGTCAACAGTAGTTGATAAATGTAAGGAGTAAGTTGCCTGCAATTAAGCTATAATTAGAATTATTTTCTCAACCAACATCTATTACCATCGATTTACATTATTTTACTTTAAATCCGATGTTTTGCATAAATGGAATGACTAATACAAGACAGGGGATTTTGGATTCTGGATTCTCAAGGGTTAATTAATCTAAATGGCTTGTAAATCGCACTAAATAATTGGCCGAAGGCACCTTCGTTACGGAACATCAACCTCTTTATGCGGATAAGGAACACGCCACGTGAAACGTAACGCACGCGCACTCTTCCGCGTTTGTCCTCTGGCTAACGGGCGTCAATGAATACAAGCGTTTTGTGGTTTCGTTGGGTGCCATATCCCGCTGTGGCCACTCGGCGGCGCTACAGAGGGAGACCCTTTGTTGAAGTTTGTTTCTGGGAGTCGTTTCCTAGTTATCGAGTCAGGGGGGAACAGAGACATAGCTTTTGTAAAGTCCTTCGCTTTCGGCTGCTGGCGACTTGTAGCGCTGGACTGATCGGGGCGAGTCGTATTTTATCTTCCCGAGTTTCCATTATTAATGTATAAAGGGCAATAAGCGCCTTGTAAGTGTCGTAGCCTAGTTTGCCGGATAGTGACTGCTGGCTGATGTTGTTTTTTCGGACCGGGTGTAGCTCCTGAAAAGCGGTGTGATGAAAGACCGGTTTGCAGACCTGACAGCCGTGAGTATGCTCCAGCCTGCGGGTCACTTGTTGCGGTACGCGGCGATGCTCCTTGCGAGCCGAAGGCGGGTGTCCCGGCGGCAGCCTTGGGGGGAGGCCGGTCGGCTGGCGCTGCGCCGTTCTCGCCTGCTGATCATCCCTTCAAGTCATGTTATTCCTCTTTGCATCTGTGTCCTCTCCTCGTTATTATATAAAATTATTCTGATGCGTTCTCTTGATATGTATATATGGCCACCAGCTTTTAAAAACCACAGAACAATTTGTTTTTGTAATTTTACTTTACTTATAAAAATAAGTATTATGTTAAAATAATGCAGCCAGTAGTGCGTGCTTGACATTTAGGTAGCATATATCTGAGAAAGTACGACAAAGCGTAACGAACTGGTAGCGAGGGCCAGATCTCGCTGAGGATGGTCGTATTCTAAAATCTGCATGTCATATTAATAATCATATTCATGAAAATTCACGTCTGGAAATTACATTTTGGTTGAATTTAGAGATTTGTTTTACAAATAGTTTCATTGGGTCATTTTCCTCACACGATATTAATGTTGTCACTATGGATTAACAATAGCCTATTCGAGTGATCTACCGATTAATCTGAAAATTAATCGAGCAATCGTTTATAATATAATATAATATATAATATAATATATACATTATAATTGGCATAAGGAAGGAACCAACCAGACATTGCCGTGTGCGCACTCACTCACAGATACGGAAAATTTAGACACTCCGTTTCAATTGAGTTTAATGTTTTTGGATAGTATAAGGAAATCAGGGCATCCGCCGAAAATACACACACACTTAGGGTTAAAATGCAAAGGAAGTAGTGCGGTTTGCGTGTCTGAGCTATTGCTGATATAAAGCATTTGTATTTAGAAAAAATTATGAATTGATGTTTTAGGGGAACGTACTGCTATGGTGGTGTTTAGAGCTTTTGAACCAAGCTTGTATCGTTTAAGTAGGCTGATTTTGTGAATGTTTCTATGTCATCACAAATCTTCGGAAATAAAAAAAAAACTATTTTCTGCAACTGTATCACATCCCAGTTCAGTTCGGTTTATCGATTTATCAGTCTTTCATTCCTGCAATTACGGCGGAGACTGCAGGAAAGCATTAATTCGCATATGTGCTTCTGTATACTGCTGCATTTGCACCTACGATGCTGCATTTTGTTTGTGGCCTTAAGCCTGCACGATTTGTGCCGACATGTCTGGTGAGGGGCCGTTTGACAGATCTGTGATATGCGGTGGGGGGGGGGGGTGTTCTTAGGTGAAGGCTGAAATGTGTGGAAATGGTAAATAACTTATGAAAGGCGGAGTCTGCCTTCAATCGCAAATGAGATATCGTAATGAAATTGTTGTGCAAGATCCTTTGATTGTGCGTTTACTAAATTTTAATATAATATATGTGTCTATTCACGGAGCCGTTGATCCTCAAACGTAGTTATGGCCTTTTTGGATACTTCTGTTCAGTGATTGAAATGTAATTGTAAATAGGTCCATTGTTTTCCCCTTTCCTGACAGATGAATTACCGCCTGTGAGAGATACTCATGGTCTGTTTGGCATGTGACTTCTTAGAAATTTTTTTATGTTTTAAACACAAATTACAGCTGAGGATCTGAACATATTTTTTTAGGCTGTGGTTTGTGCCGTTATAATTGATACCACAATATATTGTTTTGTTTCGGTTTTCATATAGTTTTTTTACACTAACAGACCATTTTAACCTACGTTTAATCACCCATCAAACCTTTCCTCCTTTCACTCAAGCATTAATATGATTGAAGAGATGTCCAGTTTTTACATGGCAAATGTTTTTATTACTTTTTTTGTGAAGAGCAAAGGAGGTCAGGTTAGAGGCGGACAATATTAATTGAAAGCTTTACCTGTGTTCTTACAGAGAACTACATATGTGGAAGAAAATGTCGCTGTACCAATTGACAATGATGCATTTATGGAAGAATTCTTCCAGCAGGTAAGGTTGTATCTGTCCTCCTGTCAGCATGGGTTTGGCGCAGGTACTGTGGCCAGGTATTTGGTCGTGGCCGGTGACGGTGTGTGTGCGGCAGGTGGAGGTGGTGCGTGGGCTTATCGACAAGGTCTCATCTCAAGTGGAGGAGGTGAAGAAGAAACACAGCATAATCCTGTCTGCACCAAATCCCGATGAAAGTGAGTCCCGGGAACGCCGTCCTTCCCCCACTGCACCTATGCCTGTGATCAGAAGGTCATTGCTTCAAATCCTGTGGTCAGCAGAATGTTCACACTGTTGGCCTCTTGAGCAAAGCCCTTATCTCCAGTTTCTCCAGGGACTGTCTGACCCTGCTTTCTTAATTCTACAGCGATTTGGATAAAACCGTCCTGCTAAATCCATAAATAAGTCAATTTACTCAAAGGGCCTTTATACATGTGCACACATGTTTGCATTTCTGTCTTAGGGATTTCCAATTGAGTTTTAGCCCTGGCAAAGCGCATAGACAGCTGAGAATTGACTGCAAGCACTCAAGTTATGGAACTATTGGTTTCTGTATGATAGTGGTTGAAGTTTAGTTTCGTGGGTCACCCCCTAGACACCTGCATTTTGGGTCTTAATGTCTTTGTGTGGGACATTTTTTAGACCCAAATTTGCACAAATACATATGTGAATTTGCACATGCTGATTTGCTTATTGCTGATCATCCCAGCTAGTATTGCTATTTGGTGACCAGGAAATGCAGTGGTCTTAATACATTTGTAACTGGTGTGTTTGCTGGTTCCAGTGCCAGCAAGTACATCTGTGTTTTGAATGAGTTAGCAAATACTTAAGCAAATACTATGTTGCTTGCTGAAATTACATATTGTTTTGCCAATATTTGTCAAACACCACATTATTAATGGAACTTGTTCACATAAACAATCCTGGGCCCTAGCCAGTCACATCAGACCTTTAAGGTCAGTATTTTCTGTGTTGTGTCAGTAGCCTCGATTAGGACCATGGCAACATCCTGTAGCCTTGCCGTGATTTTGTGAGACAATCTCCAAGAGCTTATTACAGGATGACTCTGGACTGCATCCATGTCCTATAATCCATCTATTGATTTTGGGAAGTCAGTGTGGATCAGTCACCTGTACAGTTATTTGGTCTGAAATATACATGCTAGGTTTATATCTGTTTTCAGGTGTTATTTTAGATGATACAAATGGCTTTATGACTTAATGTGGGACATGTTTTGAATTCTTCATGCACAAATATTCTGACTGTGTTTTCTTCCTGACGGGATTCCCGGCCTTCCATGCTGCTTAAATATAGGCAGCGGCCTTTGGGGGCATGGCTGGAGGGGGGCAGATAGCCCCGGCTTCCTGTTTGGCATTGTCCTGCATCAGGAAGCGTCACAGCTGTCACGGCGCAAATAAATGTTGGAATAAGGAAGCGTGTGCAGACACTCCTCCCCTCAGCAGACACCTTTGGGGCAGACTTGGGGGACGATGAGATTTTCAGTAGCTCCTTGAATGTGGTTTGGGCAAAGTTTCTTTTTGATATTTTATTCTGATGCCGTAATTTTCAGCAGTGAAGGTCACGCTGGGCAGCATGATTCAGAAAGTTCGGGGGACATTTGGAAGAGTGCCGGTGGCATTACGGGTCCCTTCTGTCTTCCTTTGTTGTGTTTTATTGACCTTTTGGGTCCGGTAAGCTCTGTGCCACTTATGTGACCGGTATTTGGGGAGTTGAGGGAACTATGAGTGCGTCTGACTTAGCGTCCGCACACATGTACAGAAGTGAGCATCTGAGACCATGTGGTGATTCACATGTGTGCACCGCATGACAGAGTGGGTATAGTACCATCTGTGGGAATTCGAGCGAGTATGAAGACGTGGCACACGTGGTCACTTGTGGCACACGTTGATCTGTGGCTGCACATGGCCCGCTTGCTTGGAGAGTTTGGTGCTGATGTACAGATGAGCCAAGAGCACCTCATGCATCGGTATTGAGGGCAGTGATTTTAGGTGAGGGATCTGTGTCCAAAGGGTCATGTGTTCGAATCCCATTACTGACAGGACAGGGTTGAACAAGGCCTTCAGTTGCACCAGGGGCACAGGATGCTAGCTGACTCTACTCTGTGACCCCAAGCTATCCTGACTTGTACATCATTAAGTATAAAACAATGTAAGTGCCTACAACGGACCCACACCCAGGAAACAGAGGTGCGACCCTGTCGCAGTTTGTCTTAGTTCTGTACATTGTCATTTCCTGTACAAAGAAATACGAAGTCCCACTTGCCTACAGAATAATTCAAGAGTAAAAATATTGCTACTAATAGTACCGGAGAATTTACAATAGCTGTTTAGCTAATGCGCTTACCTCTTACCTAGAACTGGATATTTTACTGGATCAGTTCGGGTTACGTACCCTATGCAACCATTGTAAAACTAAGTACTTCTTAAAGTCCCAAGTTACTGGTATAGCTAGACCTTGCTAATGGAAAAAAACAGCTAATGGTCACTTCCTTGGTGAAGCATCATATACAGTACTGTGCAAAAGTCTTAGGCAGTCCAAAGAAATGTTTAAAGCTGTTTATCTGGGTAGCAAGTGCACTTTGGCTTAGAAAAAAAACACAATTTAACATTAGAACATATGCAAATTAAGAGTAACACAATAAGAACTAGTAGTAATTTCTTCTGTTTTCTAAAAAGTTACTGATATCTAGTTGGATGGCTAGATGAACACCGCTTCAGTTCCCAAACCTCTCCTCAGGGGCACCTCAGCCGTTCCATGATTTTGTTAAATTTCACCAACAGCTCAATTAAATAATTAAATAAATTGGTTTGAAAAGTCAGTGACAGATTGACTAGCTGTATGAGGTGTGCTAGTGGCCAAGTCAAAAAATACATGGCTGCACTGGACGGTCACTGCAAATACTGGGGTGATTTTAGCAGAGGTTCTGAAATGGCTAAGCTGACACACTTTGACAGGAATAATATCATAGTTTTACACCAACACAAGGATAATTTAAACATCATTTTCTTTGCCTGCCTAAGACTTTTGCACAGTACTGTGCATGCATAAAGTCTTCAGCTTGTAGGCATTTCACAACAGAACATCCATGTTTCTTAACATATTGTCATTTGCATTAAGAAGTCATAGCCTGTGGCCCTTCTTAATACTTTGACCGTGCCGTAGGCTGCAGTGCTACGGGTGAATGTGTCGCCATGGGAGACTGCACAAATTCTCCAACCACATTCTCCGCACCTTGAGCTTGGCCTAATTGTGCTCTCTGTCCTTCCCTGTTTCTTTATTTCTCCTAGAAACGAAAGAGGAACTTGAGAAGCTCATCAGTGAAATCAAGAAGAACGCCAAATCCATATGGGCCAAGCTGACGTGTGAGTGCTTCTGCGAAAGGCATTCATTTGATTTGCAAATGAGCCCAATGGGAATGCAAAGCAAGCTTCTCTGATTGGATGGAGACTGGACAACCTGAGCACCTGAACTTAATGCTCTTAACTGATAGCACTATTATGGTCTGCTGTAATAATAAGAAAGCAAGTTTAGAGGCCTAACTGGAGAATTTCCACAAGTAAAAGATTCAGTGAATCAATGAATTCCTGGTGCGCTTTGTTCTTTTATTTACAAAGAAATGTAATATAAGAATAGAGATGGAGCCATTCTGGCCCTCTGTGGTTTTGACAATTGGTGATTCTGTTTCTTATCCAGGTGTTGTTTGAGCCCTGATAATAATGCCGTTCTGCATATTCATGAGAAATAATACATGCCATTTTGCCCTACATGAAGCTTCTGTAAATTTTCACTTAATCCAAAATGCCATCTTGTCTCTGTCAGTGAAATCTTAGGCCTTGGACAAAGCATGTCAGGCTTTATAGGGCTTGAGATTTCTGGTTTGTTAGCCAAACTGTCAACATGGAGATTCAGCTGTGCCAGCTGGACTATTTTATTATGTTCTGATTTTTAGCCAAATGTTTATTATTTGGTGTTATGAAGTGGCTGTTTGTTTGTGGACACACGGTCCATTTTGAGAGGGATGCTCCTGTTATTGTGTTCCTTAGGCTGTGTCCACACTGCTGTTTTTGTTTAAAAACATTTTTAAACTAAACTGATCTCCATCCACACAGACATTTTCACATTGTTTTCAAAAGTATTTCCATCCACACTGAAATGAGCTAAAAATGCATATGATGTTGGTATTAGAGTACATTGGGCATGCGCCCGTTGACAAAGTGATCAATAAAGTAGTTTGTTTTTGCACAGATATGCAGCAGTTGCACTGTGTAACACGATATTTAGCTGCAAACAGGTCATCAGCAGGGAAAGCCCCACTGAAAGCAACTCCTCCATATTTGCCATGTTGGAATACTACTTTACTTCTGTGTAGGGTGGCCAGGTGACCAATCAGACAATGAGAAGATGTAACTAGCGGGATCCATTCTGGGAAGGGCCACATGATGAATAGGGACCAATTAGGGTGCTTTGAGTATTTGTGTTTTCACAAGTCTCCATTTTCACTGAACCAAAGAGCAGCAAAAGAAAAAAAAGAGAGTTTTCAGAAAATAGGTCTTTCAGAAGGATATGGCTCTGAAAGCTTTTTCAGAAGTCTCAGTTTTTGGGGGCTGAAAACTGTGGGTTAAAAGGGGTTGTGTGGATGAAAGGCGAAAATGGAGATTAAAATGTCTGCATTTTTAAAAGAAAACATTGCAGTGTGGATGTAGCCTTGGGCTGGGCAATTAATCGCGAATGAATCATAACCAACATTCAGAACCTCTAATCGACATCTTGCCCAGGTCGGTTACTTCGTTGTTCTTTTTTATTCTGTCAATACATAAAAAATCTGTTTGTATTTTCCCCAGTGTGTGTACTGTCCCCTTAAAAACATACTACGGCGTGTGTTGTCACATGACTCCGCCCCGTCCAGTCTGCAAAATGGAAGCAACATAGAAGAGAACTCAAATACTGAGCCGACTGAACAACTGAAGCAGCTTGTACCAAAGAAAAATGCCTTGTCCATTATTTGGATGCATTGTGGTTTTAGTGAAGACAACACCACACAAAAAGAGGTCAAATGTAAACACTGCAAAAAAAAGAGTTTCAGCTATGAAAGGTAATACTACCAATCAGATTCAAAACTAGCAATATTTAAAATACAGTGGAAACCGCTTATAGTGATCATGGTTATAGTGATCAACCGCTTATATGGATCAAAAAGCTTGGGACAGAATCATTCCTATACAAATACTGTTCAAATAATTCGCTTATAGTAATCAAGTAGCCTGCTTACAGTGTACATTTTGAGTCTTTTTATACATGACAACATATGGAAAAAATTTAAACTACGATAATTCTTTTTTTACTTGGCTCCTTGGCCTTGTGGTAACCCTTCTGGCTAGCTGCCTGAAGCTAATGCTGCATGCACAGAAAACGACGGGAAAAGACAGTCATTTTCTCTCTTACAAATATAGCTACTCCTCACTAAACGACCGAGTTCCATTCCTACAACTAGGTTATGAAGTGGATTGGTTAATAATCGAGGAGCCGCACCTTACTCATATTTCAAGCATACTGTAGACTACTAGTAGTGGGTCATCCATCTTTAGATATTGTTTTAATTGCCTCAGGTACTTTAAAATCATAAAGATATACAGTCTTTCATTAGAAGAAATATACCAGCTTTAGTAGCAGAGCGTATTTACAGTACAAACCTTGTGAATGAAATTTGAGGGCAAAAAAACAAAATAACTTCATTAATTGTAATCGAGGTACTGTAAAATGTTCAATTATTCCTGATATCGATTAGTGGTTATTCCAGTCGCTTGCTCTCATTCCTGAGATTATAGCTGGTGGTTTTATATTTTTGGATGCTCATATTTGGTTTCTAAAACGGCGACTGTATTTTTTGCGATTTTCTTGTCATCTTGTTGATGGTCCCATTCATACTCAGTCACCTATTACCCCAAAAAAGAATTATCACTATTTTTAGTATCTAAGCACAAATAAACATGCTGCTCACTGCCCCTGCCCCAGGTCTTGTGGTTCTGTTCGCTGATGCGTTGCCACATGTTTTTAGGGATGATCGGGATGAAGATGGCCACACCCATTCAATTCGCTACCGGCTGCGTGCATACTGGTCTCATTCTCCGTCTGTAAATTGGCCAGTGGCTTACTGGAGACATGGCCGGTTTGACTGGAAGGTGATCAGCCCTCCCCCAAACTAATCACTGGCCTCTTCTATTCTCCATTAGCCATGCAGCAGAGCCTCCCCGAGGACGAGAATGCAAACCGGGCCTCGTACCGCATTCAGAAGAGTCAGGTCAGGAAATATGCAAATGCCAACCCATGCCTGTGCCTGTGATGCTGACTCCCCAGGCCTATCCCCTGTGTCCTCATGTGTGTCCCTCCCTTTCCCATAATGCACTCTGGCCATGCCGACTGTCAGTGCCGCCATGTGTACTGTTAGGGTCCTGTAGGCAGGTGTCATGCCTCGAAGCTGCAGTTGCGGTTTGCTCCAGACCCCGTCGAATTTGTCCTTGCATGGCAGCGTAGTGAGTTGCCAGCAGTAACATCAAAGTCGTGCATGATATTCAGGGAGGGCATTGGTGGAATAGTAAGAAGTGGAGGTTTTCTTCTCCTCTCCCACAGTGATCTTCAGTATTTTTTCTTTTTCATTGTTTCTTCACTGTGTTCTGTCTAAATTTTGGCATCTTGTGTTTCCCTAAAAATGTCTACAGTTAAGTGCACACACACTCACTCGCTCACACACTCACTCTGTCCGTGTTTGGCTTTCCACCCTGTCCAGCACACGGTGTTGTCCCAGAAATTTGCAGAGGTCATGACGGAGTACAACGACGCTCAGTTGTCTTTCCGACAGCGGAGCAAGTCACGGATCCAGAGGCAGCTGGAGATAAGTGAGTGCATAAACATTGTTGTTTTTCCCCCTCCCTTGAAAAGACTTGTTTATTGGACTCATAAATCGGATTTGGCACTTAACAGATTTGCGAGAAAGGCAGAATAATAGTACAAATCCACCCAGATGGATTCCCTGAGGTATGGAGTGAGTCATGTGTAAAAATGCTGGACAGGCCCAGTTGGCTATTGCTAAAAGGACTGATGGGGTTTAACTAACAGGGGAGTGATTTCAGGGTAACGTTTACTAGGAGTATACTGGTAACACAGTTAAGTTTAAGGTCTGCTCTTTAAACTGTTACTTGTCATCCGGTAATATACTAATGAACGGAAAGATCCATTCACAGACAAATTTAGAAATGTATTACGATTATATCTTGCCTCTGGTATTTTCAAAACAGCTTGCAAATCACTTGCAAATATAAAAGAATGGGTTATAAGCAGGGAGGAACAGTGGTGAGGTGGTTAACATTGTTGCCCCACATCTCTGGGGCTGGGGCTCAAGTCTCTGCCATGGCTCCCTGTGTGTGTAGTTTGCATGTACCCCCCCATATTGTCATTGGGTTTCCTCCAGGTCCTCTGGGTCCCCTCCAAGCCCAAAAACATGCTGAGGTTAATTGGAGTTACTGAATTGCCCATAGGTGTGTGTGTGTGTGTGTGTGTGTGTGTGTGTGTTAGAGAGTGAGTGAGTGAGTGAGTATCCTTCACTGAGTTGGTGCCCTATTCTAGGTTATTCCTTGCACCCATAGCCCCTGGGATAGGCTCCAGACTCCTGAATAGGATAAGCAGTTACAGAAAATGGATGGGTAAGCAGCAGACCTTATTTTAGAGTGTTAACAGGATACGGCTAGCAAACGTTCAACAGAAATCACTCCCCTGTCAGAGTTAATTAATGAAGAATAGGGGGCAGTACCTAGGGGTAGCCTGAGGAGGTGTCTCCATACACTAGAGGCACCTGTGGCTGGAAATGTATTCTGTTATGTTTCTCTATTTCTGTGCAAAACAAATATGAAACTCAGATCTAAGGTTTTAGCAGGAAGTTTAAAGTACAAGTACAGTCTGTAAAGTGTTACGGTTGTGCTGCCCATAAACCCATTATTACAGCTAGCTGATAAAGTAACAAGGGCAGTCTTTCGCATCACTGTGAGAAAAGTGTTGATTATTATTAGCAAGACAATTATCGCAGTGCACATTTACATGACAATGAAAGGGTGAGATTGGAGTTATGGGAATGTCAAGAGCTTAGGACAGAGCCCGTGTGAAAAGATTCTGAGGGCTTAAAGAAGAACTTAATCAGGTGCCTTGATCTTAGAGGTGAGCTTGTCAGGAATTTAGACCATGCCAATATCCTTTACACAGTAGCACAATGCTGAAAGCCATCTCTTTGAAGATAGATTGACCGAGGAGTTAGTGGTGAGATGAATTAAATTTTGAAGGTAGGTTGAGCGTGATTAGCACTGACATGCAGAGACGTGCTACTCCTGCTGAAAGGAAGAACTCTTTGTTTCATATTTGGAAAGTGCAAACAGGACTTACAGTATTCATTAAATAGCAGTACCAGCAGTTATTAGAGGTTTGTTTGTTCCTGCAAAGAACAGTCCATTCAGGTGAGCATAATTCATGCAGACAGCCTTGTGTCTCATCAGATTTCTCTGACTTCATAAATTGTTTTAAAAATGAATGCATGTCCATTGTACAGTATCCGGTTTCATGGAGCTGGTCTTCGTCCGTCTGGAATGGCGTCATCGGTAAAAACTCAGTCCTGTCAGTCACAATGTAGCTCTTAATCTGGAGAGAGATGATGGCTGGTTAATGTCAAAAGCGGTCCATGTCATTTTTAAGACATCACACTTACGGATTTTTGAGACAGAAATTTTACATATATACATATAGTAATAATCAAGGGTGGACTTTCTTGAGTTGTGTGTACATACTGATCTGGGACACAGCAATCCCAAGATAATGTGCTTTGTAGTAGCCATATAATGCTAATAGTATTATTGGTTCCAGCTGAGTTTCCATGTAATATTGAAGTTGACCTATTTTATCTTTTACATAAGTCATCTTTTTCATTATATATAGTTCTCTGAAAGCTAGCGCTTGCTACACTGGATCACCAGTGGTTTTTCCTGTTCATAACAGTGGCTTGACTTAAAACTGAATTCTAAACTTTTTGTGGGCCTATACTTTGAGACCTGTTGTGGTGAACGAGCCACCACGATCCACTATAGAGAATGGCTGATCTTTCGATACAATCATCACCATTGTTTCATTAGTAGGTTTGGTGCTGCTAACTTTGAACACTGATAAAGTTTAAATATCAGGTGGCTATTTTGCTATGTTAAGCTATATATTGTGCATCTCTACATATTGTTTCATAAATACAGAATGAAATGCAAAATTATAATGATAATTCTTAAGCAATATATTTCTTTGAGAGAGAAAATCACGATATTGATTCTGAGTGATTCATATTTTACCTCAAATGGTGCAGCCTTATGATGAGGTGCACTGCATGCAATTGTGTATTTTATTAACTGAGTGAGTAACAATGGTCCTGTGTAATGTATTGGAGTAAAAAAAGTCATTGTTTGGCAAAAGTGTAAATTTAGCAAAGTAAAAGTTGCAGCAAATTAAAATACTCAAGTAAAGGGCAAATCCAGAAAAAAGTACTTAAGTACAATTACAAAGTATTTGCATTGCGGTGCTTTACACCTCTGGTTTCAAGGGTAACCTTGGATGACGTATAGAGCCTATTGTGAGGGAGCTGGCGAAATAAAAGATCAGGCCCCAGAATTGATTTAGGTCAAGACAAAATTGAGTTTGAAGAGCCATGTTACATATTGCTAATATGTTACATGTTACGTATTCACTGTTTGCCATTGTCACTATTGTAGGACTGTACAGGTTTTGCAAATGAATGGGGAAATGGAGAAAAAAAGTTTTCTCAAGCATAAAACCTTTACAACACAAAAAATGAGGCAATATTAATCCTCCATGTTGACAAACTAACTCATTTGTTTACATCCTCAGGTAAATACCTTTAGCAGTGAATCAGACTGTATGTGGTCTTTGTGAGACAGTGGAACATTAATGTTGCAGTGATTGCTTTTGGACTTGGAAGGATAGCCTCGTAAACACAAGCTGTGGCTTTCAAAGTGGATTAACAGGGAATCCAGTGATATGTCATGATGTTTTGGGACCACACCCTGAGCTTACACAGTCCTCATACTGGAAAGGGGTGCTCTGTGACACAGCTCCAATGCTCCGAGAGATACCCGCACCAGGGAACACCTGTGTTATGGTTTCCCGGGATACTGTGGTCAAGAGAGACGCCACTGCCACATTAATTTAGGTCAAGAGGATGTGGTCATGTGACTGTAGGGTTTACTCATGGCCTCACAGCAGACCTGTTCCCAGCAGGGAGAATTAAGTTTTGATCTCTGACTTCCCATACTGTGGTGGGACTAGGCAGGTGTTGATCAGATTAATAGTGTTGCATTTAGATATTTTGTTTGCAGTGCTTCTGTTGTGGTGCCCGTTAATTGCTGGTTCGCAGGCTTATATTAAAGCATGATTCCAAAGATCAAGGCTTATTTATGGGCCTGATGCTTTATTGCTCCAGACAGGAAATGTTGTTTTTCAGTGTCCAGGAAGTAGCTCTCAAAATATGGAGTTACTTCAGATCCTCCCAGTGTGGCCGTTCCCAAGCCCCTCCCACTCTCAATGAAAACAGCCATCATCCTGTAGCAGAACAGTGCCTCTTTCCTGGGGCATCTTCTGCCCCCTCCTTAATAGCGGACCACCATGCCCTCTTCAGATCTACACTTCTGCTGTTATACCTTGGGTACAGAGACTGATCCCTGGTCAGATTTTAAAGGCTATATTTCACACACTCTGCCTGCCCCGCTCATCCACTCTCGCCGGGGGGTTGACCTGAGATCAGAGGGCTCTGTGGTTTGAACACACGCCATGTTTGCTGGCTGTTTTCCCCCCCTCACTTCCAGCCTCATATTTCATCAGGCCTGGGTTGTCACATCCTCTTTGTTTCTGTGGTGGAGGGGATGCATGCCCTATGTTTTGAGGACCACATCTGGATGTACACTGGGGGGCTTTTTCCTTCCTGTGGATGAGGGCCAAGCTGCTGGAACTTGCCCACTGATTGGCTTTAGAGAATAGCTGGACCATGCCAGGCTGCGCTTTCCAAACTAGAGGAGCTGTGGGACAATATTGAGGAAGGACAGCTTCTTATAGACACTCTGTTCGTGTATCTTGCCCTTCTGGATTGTGGCAAAAATGCATAGAGGAACTTCTGTAATATTTATGGGGAAGTATAACAAACACCCTTTAAAATAAAATAAAATGAATGAACCAGCAATTAATAAGAATTAGGAATCTGGACACCTTGTCAGAGTCATAACATTGGTCTCCATCAAAATAAATATTAGTTATCTTGGTGCCAATTTACAAGGCTACCCTTATAAAGGAATTATGAATGGTTTATAAGCAGGTTATTAATTAGGTTGTAACACTTTGTAAATCATTACTAAACAATTATAAATAAGTTATACCGCAGTTTTCTTATAATGATAATCGATACTTCATTGATCCCCGTGGGGAAATTGCCTTTACACCTCCCTCAACTTGCTCATTGTGGAGTAAGTTGTCTGCGAAGGGCAGCCACCTGTAGTGGTACCCAGGGAGCTGGGGGTTAAGGGCCTTGCTCAAGGACCCGCAGACGTGCTGAGTCTGGGTTTGAACCGGTGACCTTCTGATTGCAGGCACACAGGCTTAGCCCACTGAGCCACACGCTGCTATAATTGATGTCTGCTGTTTATAAGTGGCAAAGGGTAGCCTTATTGTAAAGTGGAATATCACAAAGTTTTGCAAGTTTCATCTCCTCTTTCCAGGTCCTGTTTGGTTTGAAGGCAAACCTTAGAGGAACTCCCCTCAAAAATACCTTATTTGCATTTTAAACTTGAAGGTTTTTTTCCCCTGTTTCTTCTGCCTCTGTTTAGCAGGAACATTCTTGTACCCCTGTTTAATTTGGGCCTGTATGCAAACGTACTCAAGGGTCTCTCATACACTCAGTCAGAAGAAAGTATTGTAGTTCTGGTGGTAAGGGGATCGTGGTTTCTTATTCGGGGAGGAGGGGGAGTCCACATAGTTTGAACATAGTTTGAACATGTTGCATTCAGCGGGAATTCCCAGTACTGTTTCTCAACTGGTGGGTTGCAGGATCAGAGTGGATGGTTAAAAAAAAAAAATGCTGCTAGCATGTAATCCCCCCACTCTCCACACTGGTCTGGAAATTTGACCTCCTGCACCCCCTCAGTTAGCAAATTTTACAACCAGCAACCCCCACCTCCGCTAGTTGGGTCCAGATCAGGGTACCACTAGAGAAACACCAGGCCGATAACCAGAAATAAATAGGTCCCTCTCGGTAGATTTTGCCCACTGGGGGCTGCAGCAAATTTCAAGGGGAGTTCAAACTCTTAGTTTTTCTACCTGACTGCTTGGGCTCATTATTAAATTATATAGCTCTGTGCCTGAGAAGCACAGCTTACAGTATCCTTTCAGTTGTACCTTGTAACAGTCCATTTTTAATGTTCTTTTTATGAAGCTGGCAGAGTAACATCAAACGAAGACCTGGAAGATATGCTGGAGAGTGGAAACCCCTCTATTTTCACCTCTGATGTAAGTTTCCAAAGTCACCCTTCTAACAATCATTACATGATTATAGTCACTATAGTAGGAACTCACCCCTATGGTGCCATTACAGGCTTATAATTATTATAGCTTTCGCAGTTGGCCCTGTAATTTAATTGAACCACCCCCTCCACCTTCACAGATTATCTCAGATTCCCAGATCACCCGCCAGGCCTTGAATGAGATCGAGGCTCGTCACAAGGACATCATCCGGCTGGAGAACAGCATCAAGGAGCTACACGAGATGTTTGTGGATATGGCCATATTGGTGAAAACCCAGGTGCCTCCTGAACTCCAATTCCAGTTTGGATTGATGAATTAACAAACACTGTATTATTTGTTGTAATAATAAACGCATAGAAGACTTATCAGTTCAAATGAACATAATGTTGTACAAACATCAGACTTTTTCATGAGTTCAAAAGAGTTAGAATTCTATTCATATGTCAATTAAATTTAACTGACGCTCAGCTGGATCCAGCAATAAGTTCCAGGGTTGCTTTTCAAATCTATTGCTCAGTAGTCATAGTTACTATTTTTTGCCATGAAGTCAACTATTAGAAAATACCATTGGACAGCTGTTTCATTCACAAGCAACAGTGCCTGGAGTTAGAATTTTCTGTTTGAATGAAGCAATTATCTGCCTAATGAACTTTTAAATTATGGCCTTGACAGCAGCAAAAGCACAGCGCTGAATGATCACTCATCTATAGACTCAGCTGCAGGCTTGTAGTCCATTGAAGAATTTGCATTTATTTGACACTTCTATCCAAAGTGAGCTAGAGCAGCGAGAAGGGTTAGTTTATGTGTGTTTCCTGGGATTTGAGCATCCAGCCTTCACATTGTTAGCACAGTGCTCTACTTGTCGAGTTATGGGAGCTCAAGAGTGGATCAGTTATTAGTTGTCTCCTTTCTCAAGGGCGAGATGATAAACAACATTGAGAAGAATGTGACCAACACAACTGAGTATGTGGTCCAAGCCACAGAAAACACCAAAAAGGCAGTTCGGTACCAGTCCAAGGTCCGGCGGGTAAGACTATTCCCCAGACGCACACGGAGCACCACACCTGATTCCTGACATAGCTATTTTTTTTTGCGTGTTTGCATCAAGCTGCACGTGCCACTACGAACCAGCTGTCCTGCATGTGGTCTTGTCGCGCTGACGTCTCCGGAGAAAGGGCCCTTATTAATTCTCATCTGTCAAAAGGGAGGGGCGTATATCTCACTGTCAGTAACAGCATGTGTGTTTGACTCTTATTAAAACTCCACATTTGCACGTATGTAAAATAAACACGTAGAAGAATAGAAACTTGCTACTGACTGCTTCTGTAACTCTGTCTGTTTGTGTTTTGGCAGAAAAAACTAATAATCATCCTTGTTGTGCTGGTCCTGCTTGCTGTGGTTATATTAATCATCGGTTTATATTTTGGCCTGAAAAAGACATTCTAATAAGTCCGACCCTGACTGGAGGTAACTACCTCGCCATTGTGTGCCGTTGCTTTCGGAGTACTCCTGTTCCTCTCACTGCAAATTCCCTAAAGTGTTTCACATAATATGATTTTGTAGCTGTGAGAGGCTTTAAATGTGCACTGGTTTGGCAGGCAAGTCTCATTGATTGGAAATTCCTGCAGACTATTGGCATGGAGCCCTTCATACAGGAAGTTGTCTTACAAGCACAGACAAAACAAACAACTGTGTGAAAACAGCATGTGGAGCTAAGCTTGGCTTTAGTTTGTGTGACTCACAAGAATGCTAATCCATTTTGCTCCTTTAAACTATATGAATAATACAGTCAGCACCGTACACTTATATATGCTTATAGATTGTATTCTGTATGGTTATTACATCCCACATCCTGCTATTTGGTTTTGTTTCCCGTTTGCTTTTCTGGCAGATCTCATTTCCTTTCTGTCACTTGCTTCCCACTGATGCTAATAGTCAAGGGCTATAATTGAATGAAATGTAAACATTCTACGTCATGATGTTGACTCTGTTGGTCTTTTTACATTGTGACGTCTAAATTGTGCGATTGTACTCAAACGTTTCCGTGGAGCCAAGCTGATTTTCTTGTTTCTTGCCTGTTTTTTTCCTTCCCTGTCATTTTATTTTACAGAAAAAGATTTATCTTGCTATTCTTGCTGTAGTGATTATCATCGTTATAATCATCATCCTCACAGCGACTCTCGGAAAATAAAGGAGAACCAGAATATGAAAAAAGGGAATGTTTAATCCTCTACCCCTCCTCCAGAAGTGCAGACAAACTGAAAGTTGCCACCCACAGTCCTTGGCGGGTTTTCTTTTATGTGGCAAGCGTCTTCATTCAGATTTGAGGTAGTGAAATTGTCCTGGCCACAGAGGAATCCTGGGCTGGAAACCTCTTTCACCATTTAAATGTAGCCTGTTTCTTGTGGACATGTAAAGTTTACCAAATCAGTTTTCTCCTGAACACAGCAACTGCCAACTAATCAGAAGGGGCCTTCCGTGTCATATCAGAGTGCCTTATCTATTCCATTAATGATTTTTTTTCATATATATTTTTTGATGTAATAAATATGCAAAGTCAATATTTTTACTTTACGCCTTACCAATATAGCCTTGGGGTACCTCCCTCACCCCCTCAAAGTCACCCACAGACAGTCATTTTAATGTTAATCAAATAGTCATTGTGCAAAAGAAACAGAGACTAAATTTCATTAATGTCTCCGCCTCTGACCTTTTATGAATCTATCGCATCCTAAAGTAGCATCATAAATTTTAATATGCTGTCAATTTTTTTTTTCCACATTGTAGTTTGTTATGCTACCTTTATTGTATAATTTGTATTTATTGTGTGTTTTAACAACTGTGATGATGATCAGAATATGCCTGCTGGCTGACTGAGTAATGTGGAGTTGAGAATAATGTGCAATTAGGTTTTTTTTTTTGTTGTTCCAATGAACTCCAAGTTCCTCTGTTTCTAAGTTCTATATTACTAACATGAATATACAACTCATGTTACCTCACTGCTGTCACTTCTGAATGTATGTCATGTTTTGCTATTCTGAATATATCCGCTGCAAATGTAGGTAGGGAGCACAGTTGTTTTGTACTGTTTACACCCAGAAAGAGAATCTCTGCACTGTGTTTTGGAGTTCCAGGTGGTGCTAGAACATTTTATATCAATTGTCTTTGCTCCTTGGGAACAAATAGCACAGATGCATTCACATGTCCTTCAGTGAACAATTCTTAATAGATGCTGAGCCTATAACCATTGTACACATTGTACATCTGTTGGGATTAAGATGTAGTATGACCCCTCCCCCCCCCCCCACACCAAAACCCTGTATCGGTGTAAGTCAAAATCCATCCATCCTTCCATTTTTTTTTGTACCCGCTTGTCCTATACAGGGACGCGGGGGTCTAGAGCCCATCCTGGAAGTTATGGGCATATCACTAGCCCATCAGAGGACACACACACATACAGACAATTTGGAAACTCCAATTCTCTTTAGCGTGTTACCAAATGTTATTCCATAATTGATACTCTTAAGGAGTCATTTTGTTCTTGTGTCATTATGAGTCTACAAAACAAGTATTATACACCAGGAACAAGGGATTACTTAAATGTTTTTATTCTGTGTATTTTAGTTTTGCTTTTCCTGTTTAAAGTTGGAGACACTGAGAAAAATATTTTATTTGCATCTGTTAGCTTCAGCATTACTTCTGTAACAATGTGCCTTGTGGGAAAAGAGCCGCGTTTTCGTTCTGCAGTTTGAGCTGAACAACTCCGCGAAATATGATGTCATGCTTCAAAGCCACTGTGAATCCAGTTGTTTGTTATACTGTTCTGCTGAATTCATATTAAATATATGGAGCTTTAAATGGAAACGTGAAAATTTAAAGTCATTTTAACTTTTAGATAAATCTAAACTTTAAAACATGATCATTTTAATCACTGAGTTTGCACAGTGTAATATTAATTGCCTGAATTAAGGAATTGACCCTGTTTTACACACGTACCCACTGTTGCCATACACAGGGAACACACAGACAAACATATCCCTGGGATTAAAGAAGCATTTTTGTGCAGCAGTTTGAACGGAACAACTCATCGCGAAATATACGTCATGCTTCTAAGCGGCTGTGTTTTAGATACCACGTCCGCGGTAAAAATAGCATTTCGGTCACATGCTATTACCATAGTGTTGACCCCTGGTCCCACGTGTTGACCACCTCCGGATACTTTTTTTTTCCTTTCTGTAAATAATAACATTGACGGTTAAACTGCAGAGAAACACGTCATATCTGGGGGGGACTTTTACATCTATAAAAAAAGAAAATAATAATAATAGTTATATGGCAAATTAAAATTTGACTTAATGCGTGACATGGATTTTAGTATTCAACTTCTTTAATACTATATTCTCTGCTCATTTGCAAAATCTCGCTTGAGGTTTGAAAGTATGACTTATTTGAACTACTTCAAACTGTACTGTATAAGACGCGGGTGAGTATTTCCCGACTGATGGACAGTGTTGATATGTCCGGAATGACCATGTTGCTTTAATTTGTCTGCCCCACGGCCACCTTTTTAAATACCTAAGAAAAGAACAAAACGCAGAGGAGACGCCAAAGTCAGCAAGTGGGAACTTGCATGCCACTACCCTCCAGTACCCTCCTTCCGTGTTACTTCTACCCTGGAATTGCTAGGCGGTTTGAATACGGTGCTTTAAAACATGGTAAAAGTCTCTTGTATACACTGGCTTTGCAGTGTTCATCAAACCGCTGTAATAAAATCACTTCAATTTTCCAGTCATTTTAAAACAAATAGCTTTAATAATGATGATGGGGAAAAACAATAAATCTTTCGTTTTGCCAAATGAAAAAAAAATCATTATACTTGAACAAAGTGCAACAGTGAACAAAAAGATTAAAAACAACTCTGTAAGATACTCTATCATAGTCTGATAATGGCCTGAGTGGACGGAAATAAGTGCAAAGTGAGTCGCAATGTCCGGGGTTGAGAAAAACCCACTTGGGAAGATGTATTATACAGCATTCCGAGCCCCTCCGGCCGGACCGCACGCTCCGCTCCCAAACCTGCCAGCCAGCAAGGGGTGACCTGTGCGGTGGTTGCCGCATTATCTGATTCACTTTATTTTTGTGTTAGCCTCCTACTGGTACGTACAGTAGATGCAAGGTCGATTGGCCCAGGACAGCAGGCCTACTGTACTGTAGATATAGCTAAGAGGAGAGCCTGGTGAGTACAGAAGATAAGAGATTCATTTCAGTGCATTTCCCTGTACAGTTCAAAGTTTTTAGTTTAAATAATCCCATCCACCCAACTTTCAAACATGTATCCTAGCGAATGCCTGAATGTCTTGAAGGCAATAGCATCCCTTAAAGTATAAGGTAATGGGAAACTAGGGACATCAGGTATGAAGATCAAGTATGCTCCCCTGCTTATCGTTACCTGTCGTCTGGAAGATTTTAAAAAGTCGTCTTAAATGTAAAAATGTAGTTATAATCAGCCAGTGGCAAATAACCGCACACAATTAATCTTAAAAATTATATCTAAATAGCTAAATCTTCTAAAGCTTTAGGGTGAATCAGATTGTTAAAAACAGCGTCAATCCTTTTATTCGACGTTTAAATCTACAAGATTAGGAAGTTTCGTTTCGAGCGCGTTGTAACAAACCTCGCGATGATGCATCGCTCCCATCTAGTGGTTGATCTGTTTAATTGCAATATTACTCGGAAATAACGGGTATGGCAAAACTTTCCAGTGATTCTCATGCATTAGTCCTTTATTATATTTAATTTGCTAGTAAATTATATGTTATGATCTCTCACTATTTGATGTATTATGATTATAGAATGGTATAAAATGGCACACCTACGATGTGCTGTGTTTTTCGTATGCTGACAATATAACCTGCGGGGGGAGGATATATCCGTCCAGTGGTTAGACTGACACATACAGCTAACCATGGTCAAAGCACAGATGATCAACAAGCAGTAGACATTTTGATGGAAAATCTTTGCGGTAATATACTGGAAAAACCGGTGGAATTATGCATAACCGGAGGATCACGGTGGCGCTGTTGGTGAAGACTTAAATTTGAACTCTATTACTCTATATATTTCTCATTTTATTACGATGCATTATGGAAGAACTAAACATGTTTGATGTGTTTGCGCACAGAAAATAGGACGCGAGAGTTAATACTCGTTTTCCAGCGCCTCTGGAAGAAATTCAGGTCAGAATGTGACCCAGGGCCGACCCGCCCCGCCCTAAGGGCGACATAGGTGACAGCCTTGGGAGCCATTTCATTAGGGGGCATAAAAGACCGAGTGAAAGAATCAGAAGAAAAAGCTTTGGTTGCATTTTCAGTCATTTACACTAGTATTGATATTTTACAACTTTTTACTACTAGCTAGTTAGTAGTCAAATACCCTGAGCTTTTAAATGTTTGGTAATTCTTTCTATGAATGTGATGTGAATAAGAATCTATGAACAAATTCATAACATATTGCAATGCATTCATAAAGCCTAAATGGCTATAAATTATTTTTTTAAATCATACCACATTATACCTATATTTATTATGCATTACGAAAGCTTTATAAAGCTCTCATCTATAATGCACTATAGATCACTGGAACATCACACAGCTCCACACTCCATACATTCACAAACAACATGGTACACAAATTAAGAGAAATAATAGAATTAAAATGGCACAGATTTTCTTTTAAAAATGTTCGCTATATCCAAGGAAACCAAATTAATATATACAGCAAGAGGCCTATTTGGGTAATCACTATCACAACCAAAATGTTAATTCACTGATACAGCCATAACTTTTATTTTAGTGCATTATTAACATCCTATCCCTACAAAACAAACCTATGAAATATTATGAGGAAAAAAACTATATTTGTTACTTTTCTGTTGTGTATGACAATGCCATTCACTGTAACTGATTTAGGATGAAAGAAAACAATTATAACGTATTCCTAATACTTACAGCATAATTCTTGCTGTTGTCATTGGTCAACCACCGAGCATCCAGGGCAAATTATCCAAACTTGGTTTGTCCTGATCTTTCAGGTGTCACATGATCGGAAGCATAATTATTTAGATCATGCAGATTGTGAACAGAGACTCTACATACTATCCTCTTACACCTATTGCACTGGAACATCCATCAATCCATCTTCCGAGGGCATTTGTACCAGGCAGCACAAAGCACAACCTGGGCAGTATACCAGTCCACTACAGGGCACCATCTCACACACATCCTTACACACAGACAATTTGGAAATGCAAATTCACCTAGATGCATTTCTTTGGACTGTGGGAGGGAACCGAAGTCCCCTGAAGAAACCCAGGCGACTGAGGGGAACATGCCATCTCCACACAGAGAGCGGGGGTGGAATTCAAACACTCCACATCTGTGATGGTGCCACCCACTGAGCCTAAGCCTCTATGACTACTCGCATAAATGCCTACCCAGATAAATCAGGAATGTCCTGATTTATGTATGCCTCTAAAATAGAAGAAGTTAGCTCTCTTTCTGAGCAGGGAAAGAAGGATGCTGTTGCCATATAGGAGTCAGTGAAGCCTTGTGTTTGCCTAACATTCTATGAAAGCCCATGTTGCAAGGTCAACAAACAAAAAAGCAAACAAACAAACAAACAAACATGCAAAATTTGCCATTTGCACAAGCACAGGTACATTGGAATGGTTCTCTTTGCTGACCCCCATCTTGCTCCCCATAGCTTCGTTCACCTGCCAGAAAGAGGGTGTGTCCTCTCCATAGCAAGGACTGGACCTGTCATCTTTTCATAATGGTCACGTCTGCATTGTTCACTACATTTCTGCTGAATGCAGTCCACAGATCTCAAATACCAGCTTACTAAAATTACTATTATACACAAACCAGTTAGTTTATTTGCTTAAAGGAAGTACTGAAAGAAACGTATGTTTCTTTTCAGTCAACTTTCTCAAGCCTGAAACTTGTACCATAAACCTTAAATCTTTGTCACAAGTCTAATAATTTTGTTGTCATGTGACCTCGGCCCATTCCACAGTTTCCACAGTTGAAAGGACATTAGTCTGTTAGATCAAGAGCAATAATTATCAGTCAAAGCACGTTTTGTGTGACACATTACAGAACAAATTTTGTCTTGGATGTTCTGTCCTCTTAATCTTCACAGTAGTTTTGTTTTGATGTGTTCCGGAAAGAGTCTATTGATTTGAAGACAACAATGGGCTTTAGTGTTTATGGCAACAAAAGGAGTTCTAAGAATACCAGGCAGGGTAGAAAGTATTATATCAGTTTTCCAATACTATCAATCCTGCTGCTCCTTATAAGGTATTGACAGACGTGTGTACAGGTTAAATACACTGATTCTCTTTAAAGCAGTGTTACTTTGAGAGCGAGGATGATACGGGTTTTTTCGCTCCAACCATTTCTCCAACATAATTACGAGTTCTGCTATTCTGCCAGTATTTGATCACTGAGAATAGCTACATCCTGCCTAATGAGTAATCAATATGTCTTTACACATACTGGTGTGTTTTCAGGCTCCTGTATTTCATCAACTGTTACTTATCAGTCTTTCATCAACTATCAACAATTATTATAACAAGCATTAAACAGAACTTTAACAATTTTGCCGTGTGACATAAATTGTGATGCTAATTTATGTAGTTAAAGCTTCTGTAAACTGTGTTTTCATTTTGTCACGTGTGCAGAACAATAAAATGATGATAAAATGTGCTTCTTGATGGCCCATTCATAATTAAAGCAATATCGTTAAATTTTGTCCCCAGATTCATTTAATTTGCTTTAAAAATTTTTTTTGCATGGATGCC